TCTGATTTGCTCTTAGTTGATAAATTATCGAAAATTCTAGTATGCTCTAGAGTATCAATACATCAAAGCTTTCAACTGTTGGATTTAAAAGTTTTGATCTAATGGCTCAAAACTCAAAATAATTTGTGAAGAAAAATCACCTTAAAAAACTGGCTAACCTGCTGTAGACATAACTTTAGTTTGGCAAACCTACTAGTTTGGCAAACCTACAAAAAACTGGATAACCTGCTGTAGACGGACCTTTAAAATCCTGGCTCATTCAATTTAAATAACCTAACCTCATTTAGTTCTCCTTTTTGTAATTGATTTTATTGTTCTTGCTGTATATTGTTTTTTTTCTTTTGGTTATCAATGAAATCACGTGGTATTGTTGAGTTTTCTATCTACTTAGTAGCTAAATTTAGCCCGCCCTATTTTAAAATCCGGGTCCGTCTTGCCTCCCACACGTGAAAGCTTGCATACAGAGATGAGCTTTCCTCTTCAACCTGGAGATGGGGGAAAAGATGAATGCGGGATATTGCAAACTCAGTCCCAAAAACCCACACCAAAAACCATGGCTTCTCTTCCTTAGGTACGGGGGAGGACGGACTAAGGGACAAGAGGGATCACTTGACCCACGAACTGGTCGGAAAAAAGTCTATGGACAGCCTGTGGAGGTCTGAGCAGACCCCATGGCGAGCAGAACGACGACTCCAAGAGATTGCTCGACGACCCCTAATGGTAGGAAAAAACAGTTCGTCAATCGGAGCCCCACAACCAAAGTCATGAATTTTAGAAGTTTTTAAGAACTTTTAGAATTGAAGTTGCAGAGCTTCGACGAAGAAGAAAGACTCAGCGTGTTTGGGGTTGTAATCCAGCGCTTCTCATTTTTACGCCTTTTTGAAATGATCCATTAGCAAGGCGCCACATGTCAATTTTTAATTAGACTAACTTCATAAATTCATTAAAAAGTCATATGTGCTCTGAAAAATTCATCAAAAATTACCCCAAACTTGTAATCACGTATACTTTTATCTCGTGACCTCCAAATCACATGTACTTTTGGTTAGATTAATTGGTATTAATTTTAGTTAGATTAATTGTGTAATTGACATGGATTTTGTTCATATTTGATCTACAAAAAATTAAACCCAATACCCTTCTCCCCTTCTCCTACCCGACTTAGCAGCCAAACCCCATCCAAAACCCTTAATTATTCCCCAATTTTTTGCATTGATATTGTTATATTTTTTGTTTTTCTTTCTTTTCTTTCTTTCTTTTTTCTTTCTTTTTTATAATTAAGCGAGTCGAGGTGGAAAGCCCTAAAACATGGGTGTGTTGCTCGAGGTGGAAAGCCATAAAACATGAGTGTTGGGAACAAGGGATGAGATCCCCACATGCTTTTGTTATTCAAGGACGATGTCTGATATTTTCCTTACCATTAAATTAGGACGTCCTTCAATATGAAAGCAAAGTAAACTAGAGAGAACATAAGCAGAAATCAATCAAAAAGAGAGTTCCCTTCGATTCCTAAAGCCTCAACATATTTGAATCTATCCCTTGATCCGCGGGTAGGTTGGGGTTGATGGTAATATAAGGAACATGTATTAAGGTGCACCAAAACTTCTTGGCTCGTGAAGAAGGGAGCCTGGATACCATCTTCCACATACCTCTTAAGTAAGCAATGTTCATTATACTGTTACTAATGGCAATCAGATCGTGAGTACATTGTTGGAAGCTACTAAGAGTATTTACCCTTACATCCGATGTCTTGTGTATTATTTGTCCCTCCCCAATATCTTGTGTCAAAAAAGAAAAAGAAAGCATGTGATGTAGTGGGTACGGTATGCCCGCAAGGCTACACCCGCAGGTATGCATAAAGTGTTGCATAACTGTTTGAATCTGCATTTTCATCTGTTAATTTGAATCTGTTTGTCACACAATCTGCATTTTCCTTTAGTTAATAAGCATGAGACATTTCATACTACCCATTTACTCCTGCCTACTCCTTTTCCTACTCTTTGGTACTAAAAATATCTCCTTTCAGTCTATGATACTAAAACCACCAAGCCAGAAGGCTGACAAAGTATAAGAAAAATATCTCAATGAAATATATGTGGTACAAGCGTTTGGTACATCAAAAAAAGTATACAATGTACTTACATAATTTTATTTTTTTTTAAATCAAGTAAAAATTTATATGTAAGCACCCGTTTAGATTGAACCTAATTCACCTCTTAGTTTTAGCCATCTTGGAAGGGAGTGCACAAAAGTACTTGCAAATCTATTATTTGACCATGAAGGAACTTTTACAACTGCACCCACCTACTGCACTTGGATTTGTAGTCACCTGAATGAAAAACCAGGATTGGGTTACTTGTACATAAATCCTTGTATAAAAGATGTGGTATTTAAATGACACTTCTCTTGTGGCCTAGAGGCCATTGGCTTTGATAACACTATTTATAGCATCATAAGATAACTACCCAACGACAAACGAGTAATCAATCAGGAAATCGTACAACATGCTACGTTGAGGCATCTGACACACTGTAACCGATAACTGAAAAGAAATGCAAATGACGAATTCCAAATAGCTTCAAACCAAATTATAAGCTCTAGTTCTATTAATTTTCTCCAGGCTGCAAAAGACTGCAGTATTCTAATGTATCCGATTGATTTGTGCCTCAAGTTCTGCAGAAAGTAGACTACTAGAGTGGGACCGGTATTTCTCCCACTCGGTAAAGCCTAGAGAAAACTAATATTTAAAAAATAATAATTGAACTTCATGACACACACTTCTTAGTACCATAGAACGTTCCTGAAGAGCACATCCCATTGAGACATGAACATCTAAAATAAGCAACAGGTCTACTTAGACTACTAAAAGAGTTTTGTCCTACCAAATTTAGATGGAACTCAGCAGATTCGAGATCTTAATTTACATCCCCATTTTGTTTACCAAAAGACAGGCACAACCAACAAATCTAAACAACCACAGGACACCAGCATTAACCTATTTGTTGCACTGGCAGTTGAGCACCATATTGCATTGCATTGCCTGTTATCTTTCAATTACTGCAACCTATTTAGGATATAATATAGACAGTGATGCCAAATAAAGGCAACATTCAGACAATTTCTATGCCAACTATATGACATATGACACCATAATGATATGTTTCATGCCCACTAAATTGTTTGATAGCCCATCAAAGGTACCATTATCATATGCTTCTTACATGTGAACCACTGTGCAAAGGTGAGCCAACTTCCAAGACCTACACAAAATCTTTAATATATTTGATATATAGGACACCATTATGATGGCTTTTCTGTCTAGCAGATGGTTCTTACTTTTCTTAAGCTCCAATACTCACAAATTTTAAAGAAAAACTTTAAAAATAGATCTTTCATTATGAAGAATATCCTTCTTGCTCATTATCCTAGTTCGCATATCTCATACAATGAATTTCCATGTAGGGTTCACAGGTATAAGATTCAATGTGCACACGCAGTTCCGCGAAGCATAATACAAGAATAAAGCATGCAAAGGCAACATAACAAATTGACTTACTTGGAAAGCAGAACGGATCAGCTCCTCAACATAATCAACAGTTGCTCCTTTCACAAAATCATATGAAACATTGTCGACCACCAACTTTACTCCTTCTTTCTCAAATACTCTATTATTGAATGTATGGATCTCCAATTAAACAAGCAACCCAGATAAGCAAAAGTGCATTTAGTCAAGAATTTGAAATATAGAGAATGAAGAGGGGACAAAAACCTGTCATCTGGGTGGGTTTTGTCATCCAGATCAAAAACATATTGGAACCCAGAACATCCACCAGTTTCTACACTCAAGCGAAGCATCTTTCCCTCTGCTTCACTGGCTTGCAGCTGCTTCATTCTCTGTGAGACAGTCATTGAGAAGCCAAAGTCAGCACACCCATGTCACTGACTCACGATATAAATAAGGATTACAAACCCAAAGGTCATAAATTACATGGCACTCTCTTCATTTAAAAACTGCCTTTCATGAGCATGATAACCAACATTATCAAAACAAAAAATAGAAATGCTACTGCAAACATCTTCTAAAACAAAGCTGCTTGGCTCATTTGTCTGAAAGAAAAAAACAGAACTTGTCTTCGTCCATCCACTACACAGTTCTGTAACAATTAGCATAACCCACTTCATTTTTTTCTGTGTCTCTATAGCTATATACAGAATCTAGGATAACTGATTATATCAAGACAAAACTTATCATCTTTAGAGTCTCTAATAAAAAGAAAATGGTTCATCACAAGTTAGCTAAACAACTGAATCAAAACCAGTTTGTGACGTTGTGTTGAGGCTTATGCTTATTGTTTCTGAAATACAATATGCAAATAAAATATTCATTCAACTTCAATAAATAAATAAATTCTATCTTCATTTTCTTTGCATACAAATAAAGCAAACTACAAAATTTTTGCATCCCAATGAATTAGAAAAACTTCATAAACATCCCAAATTGAGAACAAGGAAAAAGAACCCATAAACAGAAATGGAAAATCCAGGCAAGCCATCAAAAACAAAAATCTTCAAGCACAAACAGAGAAGGGAGGGAGAGAGGGTACTTGAACACATGTATCAGTCATCACAACAGCATCGAGGGACGGAGATGAAGATGAGGATGAAGAAGAGGCTTCTTCTACAGCAGAAGACGAATAGAAAGAAGAGCTGAGAAGCCTCTGGTTCTGCCTGATTCGAGCTGCAAAGAAGGGCGTGAGTCGGTGAAGAATCAGAGATCTTGGAGCCATTGTTGTTGTTATTATTATTATGCCTATTATTCTCTCTCTTCTCTCTCAGCACGCCATCTTAAGCAAAACTCGCGCTTCTCTCCTTCTGGGACGCTTGGCTGCTTTTGAAACATCAAGTTTCGCTTCTTGAAAATGGGTTGTTAGTAAAACGACGCCGTTTTAAGCCAGACCTTAAAATTAAAAAAAATAAAATAAAATAAACTCCCAAAACTCATTTTCGACTCCCCAGGCCCCAAAACTCCCAATTCTCAGTTCTTTTCTCTCATCTTCTCATTCTACTCCCACCTTTTGTACCTGCCGCATTTGTGTTGCTGCCTCCGGCGCCCCGCCGACTCACTTGAACAGCCATCGCTGCCATCCATCCATATCCGTAGAAAAACAGACAAACCCAAGCAATGAACTCGGCGACTCGGAGTGTGTGGAACGTTTTCAAACGGTCGAGTCAGGGCGTCGACTCAGTGAGCCACGGGCACCATCATCGTCAAGAACAATGGAGAGGGATTCGGGTGAAGGTCTTCAACGGGAACCTGGAGTCGGCGCTGACGTTTATGCAGAGGAAGATGCAGTCCAGTGGGATCGAACGGATGATAAAGCGCGAGCAAACCCACCACATCAAGAACTCTGAGAAACGAGTCTTGGCTCGCAAGAACCTCGAGCGTAGAATCAAATCTCAGGACCTCGCTCGCAAGCTCAAGGCCATCCTCTCCAAGAAAGTCAGGTATACATACATACATACCCATTTCACAAAACCCATATCTTATTTTTGGGTTTTTTTTTTTTTGTTCATACGGGTTCAGTGAATTGCAATAGCTGGATTGTAGATTATGCATAATGTTTACATTACATGATTAAGAATGTGTACGTTGAAATTGGGTTTTGTGCCAATTGATAGATCCCGGAATGTTTTATTGAATTGAGGGCCTCCCTAGTTTGTAGCTAAAGTGTTTGAGGTTATGCCTGTGAAAACCAGTGTTTGCTCGAGTGCTTAGTTGTTTTTGTAGTTGTCCTATTGTAAACTACCCATAGAAGTGACTTGGAAATGTTGCTCAACCATTTGTTTGGTAAACCCTTGTTTGAGAAAGGGATAAAGATTCTTCAACTTATAGAACAAAACTTAGGCAAACTGTGTTTATTTTGCTTTATTTTCCCTTTCTATTCTTCATGTAACCAAGCATAAGAAAATATTTAAGGTTTCTAGTCGTTGCTTTTCCCTAAGTTTCTCTAGTTGAAAGTGAACCTCAAGCGCAAACCCCTTTCTGTTGAGTTATGAAGTTTATATATACTTGGAGAGCAAGTTATAGTTTTCCACTAGAATTCTAGATTTTGGAGTGTTGACAAAGATGCAAAGCCCAAACCAAACAAGTGCCGTTTCTTCCCAAGGTTATATTGGGAGTTGGAACTATTCATATTTCATTGTCAATGGACTTTACTTATTGTTGTTTTAATTTCCACACTTCTTTTTTCCCTTTTTTTTTGGTTTCAATGTGAATATCTTTATGGATGCCTTTCTTGTTTTTGCTTATAAAATATTTTCGTTATTTACCTTCTTATGCGTATACTGATGTGCTGAATTCATATTTTGCAGAGGCCTGTGAGAATACATGGCTCAAGCAGATGCTTGACGGACATATAAACCATGCCTTCTTTCCCTCTGGAGTATCATGGCCAATACAGCACCCTCTTTTTGCACTGCCATTGTAGTTTTTGTAGACAAGTTTATTGACTCAGCTTTTTCTCAAGGAAAAAAACTCATGTTTCATTTGAAGAATGTTACTTCAAAAGCTTTCATTTTGTCATTAAGTGGTGTATGAGTGGCTCTTAGCAAGCTCAAGTCTAAATTATCCATATCATGCCACTTAAAATGATTTAGAGTTACTCAGTATATTGGAATCGATCCATATGGTTCTGCAAGAAGCCTTTACTCTATGAGGAATTCAACAACTTCCGTAAATTGAAAATTTAAGAGCAAGCTCAATTCTCTCTCTGTTGTTTTGTGGAATATGTTTAGCATTAATCAACGGAGGTCTCAAACCAAAAAATACTCAACAAAGGTTCTTGAAGTTGCTGAAGCACATTAGTGCAAGTTTACTTGATGCTCAATTTGTTTTTTTGGTCTGGTTAATCTGGTTTTTGTCATATGCTTGTGTGTTGGAGCGTTTTAATTTGCACCTATTTTATCTGGTTCACAAAAACGTTTTAATTTGCACCTATTCTATCTGGTTCACAAAAACTGAACCGCATGTATAGCCGAATCACAATTCAAAACGTTTTGGATGGCATACTTGACGATGCTTAGAATGTGATGATGCCACACCACAGTACAAGATGGTGACCAAAAACTAGTGTCTATTTTGATAATCCATTATCAAAACCAATGTATAATAGAATGTAAGGTTACAAGACAAATTCAATGTTTTCCCTCCCCCCAATAATATTCATTCGGCATTAAGCCTAATCTGATGTCTAAGAAGCGCTCCGTGAAAGTTGGAGATATCATTAGGAGCTGCCAAACCCAAGGAACTGGTCTACTAGTTTTGCCACAGACTGGGCTAGGTTATCTGCTGCATCCTGTGAGGATGCCTCCGCATATACACGTATAACATCTTCTGTTCCCGATGGTCGTATAAAACATCGGCCTCTAGGGTGTTCAGCTGCAATATAAATAGGAACAAAAGAAATCATCTTCAAAAATTTGTTTATAAATTGAATATACAGGTAGAAATCTAGTTCTACAATGTGAAACATAGCGGTCATCACTTTGAAAAGTTTCTGCATAATGATGAATACAGGATGCCAATGCATAAGTTTGTTTTTAAAAGCTGGCCAAGCAATTTAATGGCCAGACCAATAATCAATACAGATATCATGCAGAGAAAATATTGAACAGCATGTAAGATAAAAGGATAAGATTTCATTTGCTGCTTACCAGCTTCAGCGTTGATGGCTTCTTGAATGCCAGGGGGTGTCACAGCCACGGTTTCTGCATTTGCTGTAACAACAGCACTTCGGTCCACAACTTTGACCTGATAATTAAAAAGTAAAAGAATTAGTTTCTGAATAATATTATACTTAACAAAGCTGAAGCATAAGCATTTACACAACTATTCTTCCGGGCAAGTTGCCTCCAACAACAAAAATGACAGAAAATCAATTATTTTGTAAAACGAATGACATATGCAAGCCCAAAAAGAAACAACTATAAAGAGAAGAAACAGCATGGAACATAGAAAGATGATCAATGACACTTGCCTTGAGCTGCCTACTGGGTAGATCCTGATAAAGCTCATTCCATCTCTGTATTGACCATCCCATATATTTCAGAATTGCCTCCACCAAGAGCACCCCACTCAATGCATCCCCAATAGCCTGGTTAATCAATTCACTAACCGCCAATAGTCTCAAGGCAGCCTTATGCTGTTCTGAACCCGAAAGAAACAACCATATACTTCATTAAAATAGGTAATGGACAATCGTGTCAGCACTTATAAAACACATAAAGTCTGTCTGGTTTAACCTTTAGCTACATCAGAAAGCTCAGTGGTTCTGGCCTTTAACCAGCATAAAAACTGTTCTGAGAACAAGATGGTGCCATGGCCATTTGCCTCAAAGTAAATCCCGATATCATACTCCGCAGCTTTCTCGTGCAGGTATTTTACCCCTGTAGGAGTAAATGTGACTTCTAACCCTAACTGTTTGAGATAATCGGTGGATGCTCCATTTGCATAAGCTGTTTGCACAATACCAAGGCGACATTGATAACCATTTTCTGCCTTAACATCTATTTCCTTATTCAAAATGCTTAGTTGCTCCTTGATGAATATAGCAAACAAAGACAAAATCTTGTCCCCATCAACAAGTTCAATCTTGTTACTACTTGTAGATGGCACAACAAAATATACAAGCCGATCAGCATCACCATCCAAACTAGCACACCTGAAAAGCTAGAACCATGCAAGCAGTTAGTCCTCGCCCTTCTTATCATTGAATGTAACACTTTGCATCAACAATACAACATTAATAAATTGACAACATAAAAAATTGACCAGTTTGAAACCTCAAAACAATGCTTGGATTATTGTACACTGGCATCCTTTGTAAACAAACCAAACTAGTTTTAGGGAAAACATCATGAGAAATAAAAGTCAAGATTGTTTCTGAGACCATGATCATTTATATCAATAATAGGTGTATATATCCCTTGTAAGCACTCCAACTAGTTGTTAAATAAGATCAAAATTCAAGTTTTTTAGAAGCAGTAAACTTGCCACTAGTTATGCTATTATGAAAAACATCATAAGTGTTGCCCAATGAAACGTAATATAGACCACGAAGGAATAAGAACAAGTCAAATAAGCCACCAAATTTCACAAAGTTTCTCCCATCTATCTCATTGATTTAGTACATGTATTTTGCATCCATATATTGATATCAAAAGAAATTTTCAAGATAATGTGTTTCTAAAGCATTTGCCAGCAGTATCTATTGATACAGGCATTTCAAGCAAGCTATAAGTAAATGATAATTAAAATTCATTGTAATCAAAAGATGGCTGACCTTATCCCAACATCCTGTGAACCAAAACTAAAGGGAACAACCTTTTCCTTCTGCACATAATCAGCACCAACTCCTTCATTGAGTACACCTCCTTCTTTTCCAGAGTTCCGAACCTCAATAGCCAAACCATTCAACATTGTCTTCAATATTTCAAGTTTTTCTCCACCAACACCATTTGCCCCATCCACAACCAACTTGTCATCCACATTGTTGGCGTGAGTTCCACTAGGACTCAAATCTACCAAGCACCTAACCAACCACAGAAAAGACCTTAAGTGAAGTCATTCAATCAAGATATGATTTTTTAAAGAACAAACTAACTCATAAGCCATGACACAACCTCCATCTTCAACTACCTGAACGAGCTTGAAAGCCGCTTGAAGTAATCAGTTTCCGATGCTTTCACACCCCCATTTCTAGCACGAACCATCCAATGTAGCTGTGGAGTAGTTAAAATTCCCATGTCAAGGGCAACTGCTCCAATAATCGAACCGATTCCCTTCAATGGAGAAAATCCTAACTAGATCAAGAACCTAAAGAGATTATAAAAGCTTCATCCTAAACAATGGTAAAAGAGCAGATACCTGTTTAGCAGCTTCAAGCAAAAATTCTCCGCTGGGCCTTGTATCTCTTGCCAGCAAAATCTCCACTGGTTTTGCGCCATCAAGTGTGATGTTTTCTTTTTTAACAAATTCAGCTATCAACTGTTGAAGATTTCAGTCAACCTTCAATACAAACTGACGAAAAGAAAGGGGAAAAAAACACACACACACACATCCAAGGATTATATAGAGAAAGAAAACAGGACCTCAACAAGATGTTGGGGATCACGAGCATTGGCGAGGGTATCAGCGAAGGGTTCCCAATCTTGAGAAAGCATTCCACCACTCGGGTCAGCAACTTTGACTCCATTATCAGAGACCTCGTTGTGAGAGGCTGTGATCATCAGCCCGATCACAGATTGGGTCTTGAGGGCCCTTAGAGCCGCTAGAATTCCCACCCTGTAAACCGTCGATTGGAGGATGGATGCATCCGCTCTGAACCCAGACGTTCCATACGATAGCTTCACTCCTGATGCCAGCATTTCAAAATTAAATCAACAGAAAACATAATTTTGTTGAGAGGAAAAATGTGAGATAGAAAATGTGGACCTTGTGGAGGTGGGAAGTGAGAAGAGGAGCTGAGGAAGAGTAAGCGTTGGTCTTCATTCATGGCTGTCAATAAAAAATTTCAACAAAGAACCCTGATTGAAAAAAAAAAAATTTACATTAACAAAGATACAGGCATATGGTATTAAATGCATTTATGAACTCATAAAAGCAGCCACTATTCTTGTTTTCTCTCTTTCCAGAATCGGATTCTACATTCTTTCTGGTCAACATGTCTGCTATTCAAAATGTGAATCATAATCTTATAAACCAAAGCTAACCAAATCAAAGTTTATGAAACATACCCACATCTCAAAAACACACAAAAATTCAACCAAACCCAATTGATTATAAACTCAATCTCACAACTTACAATCCCAGATTTCATACAATAGTAAAGTCCACAGAAAATGCATACAAAATGAGAATATGATCAAACACTAACCGGCAGTATAAACTCTGAAAGTGTGAAGACCTAGACCTCCAAAAACTTTACGAAATCAAAGATTGAAAATTCCACTATTTTATTCTGTTCAGATTGCTATTTCCGTGGAGTGGAGTGGCATGAGCAGTTTTGGGAGGGTCTTGACGGATGTATCTTTGCTGTAGTGTTTTTCTTAAGCCTGGCCCAATGGCACTCCCGTAAATAGTATAAACTCCAGCCCCAAATAATAATCGTTTGTTCTTAGAAAAACATATGCCCTTATGCGGCTAATGCAAAGCTACCATCACCCAATCCATTTACCGTCAAAACAACCAGGTCAAGAAGACAGTCATGGGTCTGCTCTCATGGTGGAAAGGCAAAGACCCCAAACCCGAAACCAAGCCCAACCCGGCTCCGAAACCCGTCGAGGTTCCGGGCATGAACGGCGCCGTTGAGGTGCCTCGACCCGCCAACATCACAGTCTTTGAATTCGGGTCGGTCGCCGCTTCCGCCGACAATGTCACTCTCGCCGGATACTGCCCCGTTTCCGAAGACCTCGAGCCCTGCCGCTGGGAGATCCTCCCCGCCAGTGGCTCCGACGCGCCCCAGTTTCGCGTGGTGTTCTGAGCAACTGCACAAGGCAAAGGACCTTCCTTTTGTGAGCTTTTGTAGTTTATGCTGTAATTTGCCTTTCTGAGAGAAGCTCTGTTGAGGGTTTTGCTGGTATGTTTTTAGATTCATGGGGTTGTTTCAACGTCTGTGAATTTGAAGCTTTTAGCTTAAAGATGGGCAATTTAGTATGATACATTGTGTTTTAGAAGAACCGAAATTTTTATTTTGTGATTTTAAGAGCTGATTAGATGTTCTTGTAGGTAACTTTTATGGTCTTCAAATGCTCTTTCATAATGGATAATGTTTGTGTTTCTAAGCTACATGGGTTTTTAATGTGAAATAGAGCTTCTTGTTGGACTCTATATTCAAAATGTTGTGCTTTAGAAATTCAAATTCCCTTTTGCAGTCTCTTGAAATCTTGGGTTGCAAACTTGTAACTTGTCATTCAGTGGAAGAAGTAGAAACTGTATTAGAGGTTCAGTAACAATTGGTCTCTCCACTCTGCATGAAGCTCCTTTGTAGTGAAAATTAGTGATGGAATGGAAAGACCGAAGTGTAGTGGGATAATTTCCAATCATATTAGAATGGATTAGGATTTAGAGTTGGAAAATGGGAAGGGAATTCCTAAGGGTCGGCGAATCAAGAGACCTAATTTTTCAGGTTTGAAGATTGTGATTCCTTTCAAATGCCTTGATCTTTCATTTGAATATCACTACCTGTTAACCAAATAGTTTTGAGAATAAGCATTGCACAATCACAGCATTTGTTTTAGGAAAAGTTAAGATGGGTATGGAGATGCATGTAATCCAATGTTTCCATTTGCACTTGGCATTTTCCCAGACAGAGCCATTTTCTGGGGAAGTTTGGAGGAACTGTTTGTGCCAGAGGATTTGTGCTTGTGGTCAGTTCTGTTGGCCATTTAGCAGTGGTTCTTCAAAACTTCTATGCCAGTGTGTTCTGTCAAGCCTGCATATAGGAAGGATCATTACTTGCTGATGGAAACAGAGCAGACATGCGAGAGATGGGCACTAATTGCGTTTTGCATATTGTTGAAGGAGCCCCAATTTGTTTTTTTTTTTCTTTCAATTTTTGTTTTTGTTCAAACCCTAATATTTTTCTGAGGCTGCTAAACACCTCCACTAAATCAGAGGTTGGGTTTTCGTTCAAATAAAACCTCTGTTTCCCCAACCAACACAACTGGAAAACTGCATACTTGGTTTTCCTTCAGTCAGCCAATGATGCGAGTTTCGTTCACAGCATAATTTTCAGAAAATAAGAAAGAAAATGGCAAGGCATCTCCAAATCGTTGGAATGGCAGTAGTAAGTTAACAACATCATTCATTTGATTCACTAAAAAATTAAGGTGAATTGCAGTCGAAGCCCACCATGACAAGTTAGGCCAGTTGGTCAAGTAAGTGTGTGTAGGGTTGGGCATCAAAACTGGAATACGGAAATCGTGCCAATCTCATGCCGTCCCATTTGGTGTTGAAGTGTAAATGAGATGATACCGTGTCATCCCGTTATTGTTTGGCATGACACCAGTTCTAAAATTGTGATCCCGTTTGGTGCCATACCGTACCTGAACAGTACAAGTTAAAAGTAAAAGTACCTGCATAAGCCGCTTCAACTATGGACTCTAACAACCTGATTTGCTCATCGTTAAACCTCCTCTGGTTTTTGCTCTTGTTTTTCTTCCTCTTGGCAGTAGCCTGTGGCTCTAGGCTGGTGGTCACAAAACCAAAGTTTTCTGCTTCAGAGCACTCTGTCTTCTCCATATATTATCTTGGTTCTGTGTTTGCTGTAATAGATAATAATGGAGGGGAGAATAAGATATTGCTAATTGTAGGTGAAGGTGCTTTCAGAATCTTGGAAATAATGGTTGCTTGTAGAATATATAGTTAAGAAGATTGATGCATCAAATTGCTGGTTGGTCTTGAATCAAGACTCTTGATTGTTTGTTTTGTTGTATTAGGCTTTGTGAAAGCCAATGTGAATTATTCAACGTATCATATAATTTGGAAGTCTTGAACAAGACTCTTGAATCTTGATTATTGGTAAACTTTGTATCAAGCTTGATTTATAAAAATTGCAAGATTTCTGAAATTTTGCAGGATTTTTTACGGTATCAATATTGATACCGAATCATACCAGTCATGTTTGCGTCCGATATGGTTTGAACGTGTTCCCAAAAACTCACATTATGTGTCATCCCATTCTGATTCCCCTATTTGGGATTGACACTGGGATGACCTTCATCTCGTGTCATCCCGTATCATGCCCAGCCCTAAGTGTGCCCATTGTCCGCCCTCTTGAACTCAATTTTGAGAAGGGCGATAATACACTAAACTCACCTACAAAATACAGATGCTAAGACTCGAACTCAAGACCTTATCTGGAAAGCAATTACTCCAAACCAGCCATAATAGTGGGTCATTTTGCTTCTCCTCATATATTAAAGTAGTTTAAAAAATCGTTTTGTCAAAAAAGATAAAAATAAATCAGCCCAACCCATTTTGGAATCTTAAATGGGTCAAGCTCATACTGTACCCGACCGATTAATAGCTTCAGAAGGCCAAAACCAGGGGACAGCCGCCTACCTTTCATTTTCATTTCTCCTCGCCTCCCTTCTCCTTCCTCTCTCCCATTTTTTTGCCTCGCAGTAACCGACACAACAGTATTAATTTATCAATGTCTTCAACTTCGAAGAAGCGCCCGAAACCCAAACCAAAACCGAGCCCAGAGTCTTCTCTTTCTTCCATTGCATCAACATTGGAACCATCCCAGAATTTCTTTCCCTCAAAAGAAGAGTTCTCGAGGCTCACAGTAGTGCTGGCCATCGCAGCCTCGGTCGCTTTGACTCTCAATTTCTTGTCCTCCACTCTCATCAACCGCCACTCCAAGCCCTTCTGTGATAGCTCCCTGGACTCTCTGGACTTCCTCCCTGGTAGGTCTCTCAACTTTATGTTTGTTTTCGAGAAACCACAACAAGATTTTGGATGTTTTGTGACTTGCTTTGTTGTTTTGAGCTGAATTTCCATTGTGGATTGATCGGTGTTCATTTTTTTTAAGGGGAAAATGGGTTCTTTGCGTTTGCGTTTGTTTTATATTGGTTGTGTTCAGTTTAAAAGGTGTGCCTTTGTGGCTACAAACTCATTTTGTGATCAATATGCTTATATTTGGATTTAGAAGTGTTTCGGACCTCTGAATAGCAGTTATTCTTAGAATTTATAACTCTGGGATGTGCCAAGTCATTGGAGATTTGTTGTAGGGGTTAATTGGTTAGCTGGGGCTAACTATGCATGTCTGTGGGTATCCCCGAATGGCAGCAGAGCATGGTCACCTTCTGACTCCAGGTTTCAGTCTGTCTCAGGTTTAAAGTTGGCCCTTGTTGGGCTCAAGTCCTGTCTGTTTTGTGTACGCAGACCAGAGTGCGGGTAGGTGTTAAATAACTCGCCTTCTAGATCTTGTTCTTTTGATGTAACCGACGGCAATAGACTAAACTAGCAAATATTAGAACACTTAGAAACACACAAGAATTATACTGGTTCGGCAGAACTTTTGCCTACGTCCAGTTGTGATTTCTCTAGGTAGAGAAATCACCGCTCCTTTGATTAATAATAGAGATTACAGAACTTTTGCAACCCTAGAACTAATCTCAAAACTCTTGGCTGTCTCTGGCTGTTTTTCCTCTCTTTAAAATAAGCCTTGCCACACCCTATTTATAGATATAGAGTTGGCTTACATGTCCCAAGGCTGATTGGATTCCTATTCCTAAGTAGATTAGGAAATTACACTTATCCAAATCCTAATAGACTTCTAGAAATCCAAACTTGAATTGAATAAGGAAAACTGAAATTCTTTCCTAATCCCTCTAGGACAA